GAAGATGAGCCAAGACTCCTCACTCTGAAAATAGGGAGACCTTGAGGATGTGTGAAAACACCTCCCCGCCAGCGCCACCTAAGGTCCAATTATCTCCTGACCCACCTCTTACTTGCTACTTGTATAAATTGAGCCTGTAAACAATAAACTTCGCCAGCTTGATCAGACATCCTGTCTTGCTGGTCATTCTTTGTGTCCCTTGCTTGTCTCATTTCTGCAGGCGTCTCCGGCACACTCCACGTTCGTCCCGCGGGCCAGGACAGGGTATAAACCTTTTCACCCCAAGAATGTTCCACTGTCATTTTTCAGTCTCACTGAATCCACAGTGAACTTGCCTGGGGCTGGAACCCATTGGCAAGACAACCCCAAATTTAAGTACACATAAGAATATAAACTGACGATGGCATTTTGAAAGGATTACACACCGTGAGCAAGTGGGATTTATCCCAGGAATTTGATGGTTCAACATAATATATCAATGTAATATATCACATAAATAAAGGAAAAAATACCACACAATCATTTAGCAAAAAAAGCATTTGTCAACATTCACAAACTTTCATGATGGAAATACTCAACAAAATTAGAATAGAAAGGAACTTCCTTAATATAATAAAAAGAATTTATGAAAAACCCACAGCTAATATCATACTCAATGGTGAAAAATGGAAGCTTTTCTTCTAAGATTAGAAACAAGACAAGGATCCCTGTTTTCACCACAGCTATTCAACATTATACTGTTAAGTCTTAGCCAGGGCAGTTAAGCAGGAAAATAAATAAAAGGCAACCAAATTGGAAAAGAAAGAGTAAAACTATCTCCATTTACAGATGGTATGATTGTCTATACAGAAAGTCCCACAGACTCCACAAATAAGCTACAAAAGCTAAAAAATGAATTTAGCATAGCTTAAGGGTATCAGATCAATACACAAAAATCACTTGTGTTTCTACACATCAGCAAAAATCCAAAAAGGAAATTAAGAAACCATTCCATTTATAGTACCATCCAAAAGAATAAAATACTTAGGAATAAACTTAACCAAGGAGGCAAAAGACAAAAAACTAAAGGCCAAAAACTGAACTCATAGAGAACAGATTGATGATTCTCAGAGAGGGAAGCAGGATATCAGCAAAATTGGTGAAGGTGGTCAAAAGGCACAAACTTCCAGTTACAAAATAAACAAATCCAGTGGATGTAATGTACAGCATAGTGACTATATTAAAAAACAAACTTTTGTAATCAAAACAGCATGATACTGGCACAGAAGAGACCAACCGATCAATGGAACAGAACAGACAGCCCAGATATAAACCCATACATACATGGTCAATTAATGAACAACAAAGGAGCCATGGATATACAATGGGGAAAAGACAGCCTCTTCAACTACTGGTGTTGGGAAAACTGGACATCTACATGCAAGAGAATGAACCTGGATTATTGTCTAACTCCATACACAAAAGTAAACTCAAAATGGATCAAACACCTGAGTATAAGACATCAAACCCTAAAACTCTTGGAGGAAAAAAGGCAAAAGCCTCTTGAGCAGTTTTTTCTTGGACACATCTCCTCAGGCAGGGAAACAAAATAAAAAATGAACAGGTGGGACTACATCAAACTAAAAAGCTTCTGTACAGCAAAAGACACCATCAGAATAAAAAGGTAACCTACAGTATGGAAGAATATATTCTTAAACAATTTATCGGATAAGAGGTTAACATCCAAAATGTCTAAAGAACTCATAATGCCTCAATGCCAAGAAAACAAATAACCTGATTAAGAAATGGACAGGGGACCTAAACACGTATTTTTCCAAAGAAGACATACATATGGCCAACAGCTATATGAAAAGATGCTCCACATTGCTGGTTGCCAGGAAAATACAAATTAAAACCATAGTGAGATATTACCTCACACCAGTTAGAATGGCTATTCAAAAGACAAAAACTAAGAAGTGTTGGCAAGGATGTGGAAAAAAGGTAACTCTTCTACACTGTTGGTGGGAATGTAAACTGGTGCAGCCACTATGGAAAGCAGTATGGAGGTTCCTCAAAAAACTAAAAATACAAATATAACCCAGTAATTCCACTACTAGGAATTTACCTGAAGGAAACAAAATCCCTGATTTGAAGATATATGCACCCCTATGTTTACTGATACATAATTTACAAAAGCCAAGTCATGGAAGCAACCTAAGTGTCCAACAGATGAATGGATAAACAAGATGTGGTACATATACACACAATGGAATATTATTCAGACATTAAAAAAAGAAAGAAATCCTGTCATTTGGGACAACACAGATGGACCTAGAGATACTATGTTAAGTGAAGTAAGCCAGGCAGAGAAAGACAGATACTATATGATTTCAGTTATTTGAAGACTCTAAAAACGAAGCAAAACAAAATGAACAAAATAGCAGTAGACACATACAACCTGAAAAGTGCCTGGTGGTTACCATAAGGGAGGGGTTGGGGTGGGTCAGTGGAGAGTATGAGGGGGATAGAGGTGCACAAAACTTCTCAATCATAATATAAACTGGTCACTGGGGATAGTAGTACAACATGGAGAATACAGACAATGATTCTGCTACATCTTTCTATGTTCGTAGATAGTAACCACACTAGAGGGAGTGAGGATTTAATAATATAGGCAACTGTTAAGCCACTGTGTTGTATACTTGAAACCAATATAAGATTGAATATCAATAATACTTCAATTAAAAAAATTAATAAAAGCAAAAAAATGGGGAAAAAAAAGGAGGCAAAAGACGTGTTCACTGAAACTACAAAATATTGCTGAAAGAAATTAAAGAATACATAAATAGGTGGAAAGTCATGCCATGTTAATGGATTAGAAGATTTATATCAAGGTGTAAATACTACCCAAAGGGATTAACAGATCCAATGCCATCCCTATCAAAATCCCAAAGATTTTTTTCACAAAAGTAAAAAAAATCTGTCCTAAAAATTATTAATCTCAGGAGACAGTGAATAGCCAGAACAATCTTGAAAAAGAAGAACAAAATTGGAGGTCTCACCCTTGCTGATTTCAGAGATTACTACAAAGCTGCAGTAATCAAAATACAGTGGTACTGGCATAAAGGCTGACATATAGACCAATGGAACAGAATAAACAGCTCAGAAATAAACCTTTGCATATAGGGTCAAGTGATTTTTGACGAGGGTGCTAGACTATTCAATAGGGTAAAGGCAGTCTTTGCAACAAAAGGTATTGAGGAAACTGGATATTCATCTGCAAAAGCATAAAGTGGACACCTACCTTATACTATATAATAAAAATTAACTAACCTGGACTAAAGATCTAAAAGTAGGAGATAAAAATATAAAACTCTTAGAATAAAATGGAAAAAAGCTTTATGACACTGGACTTGGCAATGATTTCTTGGATATTATACTAAAAATACAGACAACAAAAGAAAAAATAGAGATTGGACTTTATCACAATTAAAAATTCTGTGCATCAAATGACACTATTAATGAAGTGAAAAGACAGGTCATAGAATGGATGAGAATATTTATGGAACATATGTCTTTAAGGGATTACTATTCCTAATTTAATTTCTGATTTTTCTTGAAACCTGTGCAGTATGATTTACCTTTGTGTCTTTTTACCACCAAACCGAACCTCTTCTCTTAAAAGAGAGAAATGTGCCTCATGACTTGTTAATCCAAGCATAATCTGTTGAAAAATGATTAAGAAATGTTTCTATTCTTTCTTTTTTTATAGTATCAAGTTCACAAAAGCTATCAAATAAAAAACATTTTTATATAGAGGAGAACATGTTTATTTAAAGAAAACAAAATTTATTAGCACATTAAACATAAAAATATCAAAATATGATCCATTTACTGGTTACAAATAGGGTAAAGAAAAAAACATGTACCTTAGACTTACGTGACCTTTGTATCTGCCACTCTTCCTCCCTCCCTCCTCCTCCCAAATCCCCAAAACCTTGTTTTGGTTTTCACACCTTTTCATTTGCAATGAGGGAAGGTGTAAGAAATTAAAAGCAGCAGCTTTTCCATGACAGAAGAATATAGGACTCTACTGGAGGCCAGGATACCTCTAATATGTGAAAACTCAGAAAAAAACTGGAAAAGGACACTTTCAGTTAATTTTCTTACATAGTATTCTAATCTCCAAAGTAAGTCAAATAGTCTAGTGAGACATACTAATCAATTACAGTGCATACTGCTTATTTAATTTCAATCCTGATTCAAACAAAACAAAATGAAACATTTATGAAGCAACCCAGGGATATGACAATATTAAGTGGCTATTTATATATTAAATAGTGATAATTAATTTTTTATGTGGTTATTTTTTAAAACAGCCCTTTCCCTTTAGAGAAACATTATGAAATATTTATAGATGTAATGATACAATGTCTGAGATAATGCTTTAAGAATCCAGGGGAGTAGGAGAAAGGAAACAGATAGGGATAGGAGTTGAAAATTATTTAAGGTGGATAAAGGACAAAAGGAAATTCATTACTATCTTTTTTACTTTGTTTAACATTTTCAATAATAAAAAGTTAAAACAAAAATGCATAGTAAAGTTATTTGGGTCATGGAGTTAAAAGATCAGGTGGTATTAAAAGTCATGTATTAAATATTAGAGTAAAAAGGGCCCTCTAGCTTACCTCAGCAGAGATTTCATACCAGTAGCATCACTCAGGTGGGAACACTATAGAGATCTGTTTACCATAAACCATGGTAAAGAGCTCATGTTTCCAGTCATTATGAAATTGGTAATGGCAGAAGTAACAATCATTACTATGTCTCTAGTATTTGTTTCCACAGTCAGAGAGCTTCTTATGTAAGACGAAGTCTCTGATATATTTAGCTACATGGCATAAGGTTATAAAAACAAAAAACATTATACCTACCAAGTCAGCATCTAAACCATAAAGACAGTGTCTGGTGTTTGGATCATGATCTGGTTTTGCTTTCTCGGATCTGATAAATTCCATGATTTTATGCTCTCCTTCTCCGGGAGTCTAAATATAATGTTTAAAAAAAAATGTGGTAACATGGTATGCTTCAGAATATTAAAAAAAAACTCTTTAAGTAAAAAAAAAAAAAAGTAACCTCATGGCCTGAGAAGTAAATGGTAACTCCTTGCCACGACTTGTCTGTAGAAATTTTCATATTTACAAAATACTTCAGATGTTCATGTAACCTGGCCATGAATTCAGTCCCTATAAATAGAAAGTTTAAAAGTTTAATCTGAGAGAGAGCTCAGAAATAAATCCATGCATATATGGTCAATTAACATATGACAAAGGAAACAAGAATATACAATGAGGAAGACATTTGTTCTCTTCAGTGAATGATTTTGGGAAAATGGGAGAGCTACATGCAACAGAATGAAACTGTATTACAGTCTGATTACATACACAAAAGTAAACTCAAAATGGATTAAACAGGTAAATAAAAAACATGGAAGTATAAAACTCTTAGAAGAAAACAGGCAAAAATCTCTTGAACATAAGCATGAGCAACTGTTTTCTGGACATATTTCCTCAGGCAATGGAAAAAAAAGCAAAGACAATCAAATTGGACTACATTGAACTAGAAAGTTTCTGTACAGCAAAGGAAAAAATCAACAAAACGAAAAGACAAACTATGGTATGGGAGAGTATATTCTCAAATGATATATCCAACAAGGGGCTAACATCCAAAATATATAAAGAATTCATATGACTCAATACTAAAAAAACAAATAACCTGATTAAAAAATGGACAGAGGACCTGAATAGACACTTTTCCAAAGAAGACATACAAATGGCCAACAGTCACATGAAAAGATGTTCCATATTGCTAATCATCACAGAAATGCAAATAAAAACCACAATGAGATATCACCTCACACCAGTTAGGATGGCCACTATCCAAAAGACAAAAATAACAAGTGTTGTTGAGGATGTGGGAAAAAAAGACCCCTCCTACACTATTGGTGGGAATGCAAACTGGTGCAGCCACTGTGGGAAGCAGTATGGAGGTTTCTCAAAAAACTAAAAATACAAATACCACATGACCCAGTAAGTGCACTTCTAGGAATTTACCAGAAGAAAACAAAATCCCTGATTCAAAAAGATATATGCACCCCATATTTATCACCACATTACTTAGAATAGTCAAGATATGGAATCAACCAAAATGCCCATCAAGAGATGAATGGATAAAGATGTGCTACACACAGGCAATGGGACACTATTCAGCTATAAAAAAGAAATAAATCCTGCCATTTGTGACAATGTGGATGGGCCTGGAGGGTATTATGCTAAGTGAAATAAGCCAGGCAGAGAAAGACAACATATGATTTCACTTGTATGTGGAATTTAAAAACAAAACAAAACAAAAGAAACAAAACAGCAGTAGACTCACAAATACTGAGAAGTGACTGGTGGTTACCATGCTCTAAGTGGTAGGTGAAATAAGTGAAGGGAATAAAGAGGCAGAAAACCTCAATCATAATATAAATTAGTCATAGGGATAAAAGTATAGTATACAGAATATAGTCAATAGTTCTGGAACATCTTTCTATTTTGGTAGACAGTAAACTACACTAGTTGGGATGAACATTTAATAATATACATAACTGTTGAATCACTATGTTGTATACTTGAAACCAATATAATATTGTATTTCAACTATACCTCAATAAAAAAAAAGTTTAATTTGAGAGAGACATAAAAACAGTGAGCTCCCAGTGACAATACAAAATTAGATCTGGGTCCAGAGAATAGCTAGATATGAGATCTCCAAAGAGGTCAAAATCTCTCTTGCTTATTATTTTGAAAAGCAAGGTAATGTTGTACCCTTCCCTAGCAAATATCACAACTGTTTCTAATTTCACTCCTCACCCTAAATGAAGTTAATGTCAGAATGGGAAAGTCAAGAAATGTACTATTGCCTCAGGACTATGCTTCAAGTATTTTCACATAAGTGCAAAGTTTCAATTCCCTAATGAACCTAAATCTTCTATTCCTGTTAGATTCTGAAGATTTTTTGAAGGCCTGAAGTTTCAGTGATACTGCCAATAACAACAATTACTAGTATTACTACTGTTGACCTGGAAAATTGTTATTAATCTGGAAATTGAGGCTATAATGATTACATTTTAGGAAAAGCCCAGATGGTCAACAGTCAAGACAATAAAGTCTTCAACCACAATTGGGATAAAACTGGTTTTTAAGTTGAGCAATGCATACGGCACTTAACAAAAGAGAAAATTACCATAGTTAGTAAGGAACTCATGATAAAGTAACATATTATGATTTTTTCAAAGTAAAGGACAATAATGATATGAGACAAAGCTCTAGGAAGTAGAGTAAATTTTGCATGTAAAATTAAATTAAACTTCTAATATGAGGTAAATTAATTTACCTTTAAAGTCATAGAATTCTTAACTGCTTCTGAGGAGTAGAACAACAAGTGCTGTGGACTAGGAGAATGAATTTATTATGTTGGACATAACAAGCTGGCTACATGAACTTGGGTGAGCCACAACCTCACTGAGTCGGTTTTCATATAAATAAATGGTAGAAGTAGGATGGATCTTGTAAATTCCTTCTAGGTCTGAAATTCTGTGCATCCAGGGGAGTACTGTCCATAGCTGCTCTTATCAACATCTGTAAATCCCTACAGAGGGTCTTCACAGGAGCACTTACGACCAAAGTGACCAAACAGCTCATGAGAAAACACAACTGGGAAAACAGAGCAAATGGAGTCTGAAGGACAAAATAAATAGAGTTCTAGAAAAGAAAAATATATTTGAAAAAAAATTACATTTAAAATCTCTCAGGATTTTTCTCGGTGAATTTACCTGGTGTAATACAGTTGGAGTCAAATCTGGCCTCTGTAGGAAGAATTTCTCCTTTTTCTATTGCCTTTTTAATTTTGTCCTCTGCCTCCTTTGCTGACCTTAGGTGTTAAGGGAAAAAAAATCTTAAGATTTCTGGAAAAAAAGTAGAGACCTTTACATAAAGTAGAGTGTTATTTAGATGCTTTTGTAATTAAAATGATTATTCATCAGTTTTAAGATTCAAAACATAATAAAAATTTTGAGATTATTATAGCAGTAGAACACTGTAACAGTGTAAAATGGACACAGAATATTACAAATATTTATAATTTTTATCATAAATATATGGCAAACTGATTCTAGAAACAAGCTCAAAATTATAGCATTAAATGTTCATTATATGTGTACTACTTTTTAAAAGGTATCAAATAAAAAGTATATTATTAAAATATTCTCTAAGAATATTATGTAAAAATTATAATGTCTATCTTTAGGTTTCCTCATAAAAACATTTAAAATGAAAGTCTAATAACATTAATGACATCAGTTGCCAAAATCACCCCATTTCTGAGGCAATACCCAGTATGCCACATGACAGAGAAATGAGGAAGTTCTGCTTTATACACATTGTCTACAGCCTTACTACTAGCTCTATCTACTGTGGTCTGTGGATTCTATTTCTATGGTCAACTCTTCTTCCTATTTAACCTCTCTCTTACCAACTCCTTCAATGCAACAGAAACTGAAGATATCAAGTCAGTCATGATCTCTCCAATGGAAGCCATTCTTTCCTCTTTTCTCCCCTTCTTTGATAGAGCAAGTAACTATTAACTGCTACCGTGTGACAAGTTCTTGGGATATAACAAGAGAAATCGTTCCTATTCTCACAGAGCTTACACTCTTCTTGGGTGACAGAAAAGTTAACAGCTATTATGTTTAATATGGCTGCACTACAGAGAATGTTTGGGATAGGGACAGGTAAGACTATGAAAGCAATTTAGGTGGAAGACCTTGGTAGCTTAGGTCAAGCTAGTAGCAGTAAAGATGGAAAGAAGTAAATTGATAAGACAAATTTAAGACACTGGATAAATAGGCCTTGGATGTAGGGAATGAGTAGGAGGGAGAAGTCCAAATTTACTCTTGGATTTCTGAGTTGAGCAGCTATTTGTGTTTCACTGAAATCAGATGCATAAAAGGTAGACAATTTTGAGATGAAGATGAGTTCTGTTCTGAACACGTTAAGCCTGAAATGTACTGGTATCCAAGAGGAGATTTGGATATTTAAGGGCTCTGAAGAGAAATATCCACCAGGAAGATAAATTTGGGACTCAGAAGCACAGAAAAAGTTATTAAAGTTATTGGATAAGATCACTCAGGACTCAGGTTAGAAACTTAAGGAAAAGGAGAGGAAGAGAAGATAAGGAGACCAAGAAGGTGCAAAGAGTGTTGTTATGAACATCAAGGAAAGGAAGTTCAAGAAAGGAAGGTCAACACCGTTAAATACAATAGATAAAATATAAAGACGGAATTATTCTTTAGATTTAACCATAAGGAGTCTATTTGTAAGGAAGTTTCGGTAGCATGGTGCAGATGAAAGCCAGATGGTAGCAGATTTAAATGAGTTAAGAGATGGGGACAGATTATGATTAAAGATGATGAGTGGAGAAAGGAGCCACTGTTGAGAATGAGAAAAATGTGAGTAGGGGATTTCAGGTAAACAGGGAGCCTGAAATGATTGTGGTGGTTATGGTAGATGGCCCCCAACAGTAATTCTACTTTGTCTTTTGATACTGGAGTTTGGAAAACAAAAAAAAGGCAAACTCCCAGGCTTCCCTGCAGCCAGGTGTCTGGACATGGCTTAACTTTTGTTAGTTAGATGCCTTCATAAAAGGTTTGAAAGACAGAAATGTGGTCAAGTTGGCATGACAGTTGAGGCACTGGGGTTGTGTGAGATGTGAGATTTCATCAAATGGTAAAAGAAATCTCAACAGGTGCTAAGAAGCAAGGTGCATGGCATCCATTTTCTTTAGTACATATTAGTATGTGCACTAGGGCTCTGGAACTGAGATACAGTGGTGGCTTCTTGACTGCTGAATTGTTAACTAAGGTGAAGTATTTTTGGAGTCAACAGTTCAGATGGTAGTGACTGAATCCCTGGATCACAGCTAAAGGAATTCCTGTTCTGGTGAGGGCCTATGAACTCCTTACCCTTCTGGTAGGTCAGTTCTGTGGTGGTGTTATGGAAGTCATTCTTGAAGGCTCACCTAGATTCCCATCCTTTGGGCTCTTAAAATAATTTTTATGAGCATCTCATTCTCTGTATTATATCCCTTTCTGTTTAAAATAGCTAGGTTTCCATTACCTGCAACTAAACACTGATGGTAGGCTTATATAATACTGTCTCAGAACTAGATTTTCTAATCCAGTAGTCCCCTAAAATTAGTTTAACAAATACTGGGGAATCTGGTAAAAATAGTTTCTAGGGCCCAATTTGTAGAGATTCAGATTAAGTAAGCGTTGGGTGGTGGTCCATGAGAGTCTAAAGTAAGAGATGGTCCTTGTCTTCAAGGATTTCAGTCATTCCAATAACTTCATCTTTTCTCTTTTGATATTTAAGTAAGTACATTTACCATCTTCTTCCCATTCTCATTTTAGACTTCCCCAAGATACTCTCCCACCTTCTTCGATGATTTCCAAATTTGATTCACAGGTGCCCTTTCCCTCCCTGTATTTGCCATTGTGATGAGAGGATTCATTCAGCTAATGATTAATCAGACATGCTGGACTCAGGGTTTTTCTCCTTCAATTCTCAGAACCCTCTGAGCTTTACTTCTGCTACTCATAAACAAGGACACAGCATGATCTCACTGTTTTTTAGAAATATTCCACATGTCCAGGATTTTGACTTTAAAACCCCCTCTGTGTACAGGTTATACTTACACTACTAACAACTCACACACTGGAGATGATAATACCTTGAGTGTCCTAGCTCAGTCTTCTTCTCATACTCAATCAGTCATCTTCTAATCTCACTTGCCTTTCTGTCCAATTTGAACCCATGCTCAATTACAGTCAGCATCTAGACCAATGTGTTGGTCTAGCATCTAGACAAATTTGTTGAATCAAGTTAAATGTCAATGATGTTCTTATTAGAACAGTCTCTCAGTTTACTCTGCAGTTCCCTAGCTCAGGGCAGACTACTACAGGAGCTTTCTTGATTACTGCTGTTTCCAAATTACTAACAAGAAGTTTGGAAAATCTGTGACAGAGAATAACAGAGAAAATTTATACAGTCCAACAATGCTTTGAGAAATGATACCTCACTTGAATTACTAATTTGTTTACTTAATTGATAAAATGTGACATTATGAGATATTTCCATGTCTGGGGATATTTAAGCAGAAAAGAAACATGAACAGAAGATGCTTGTGTTAAGTCAATTATCTTTAAAATAATATATTTTATTAATCAAAATAGTATTGTAGAATGAACCATAAATATTTTACCTAAAACGCCTTCCACGCTGCTGGTTCATTTTTGCTCGAGGAGCCACACCATCAACAGCCATAAAGAACACTTTCCTAGGTTTAATAATGCGAAATAACACCTCCAAGTAGTGAAAAATATCAGTAAAGATTTTATCATCTGAAATTCTGAAGTGAACATCATCATCATTAGGATGGGAACACTGATGTATAATGCCATTCATATCCAGGTACAAGTTGTCAAATTCAGGAATCTAAAAAACAAAGAAAATGATCACTATCATTATAATCAGCCATAGGTATCTAAGCAGCTGGGAAAAGCACCTGATAAAAAGCAGAATAAAAAGGCATTCTTATTATATAAAAACTGAATAAACAAACATAGTTGAATAAAGAAAGTTAAGAAAAAAAAACAAATGAGTAATTGGTAAACTGGAGACATATTATGTGATTACAGAATGCACCAACAGCTTGATCAAATTTACTGTCAGGAAATCATCTACTTACTTAAAATAAGATAACCCAGGAAAACACCAAATAAAGTACTTGGTTCATTTGGTATTCAAAATGCTAGTTTCCTTTCTTCCTATTATTTGACTAACTATTCAGAACTTTAATTTCTTCCATAAATGGGTAGCATAATGTCCATTTATACCAAAGACTATACATGGTCACTAAAAAGTAGAAATGATTTAAAGACTTATTGTATATTTGGTCTCACCAAAACAGTCACTGATTTGGGTATGTTAATTTAAAAATCTTAGATCAGGTCAAAAGATTCAGGAAATTTAAAAAACTGATTTCTTGTTTATGATATGTGGATTAGAAATTTCTAAATTTTGCCTAGTAGACATCTAGTTTTATAAAAAGACCTTCATGGTTCTGCCTCTTATTTATTTTTCCTCTATTTAAATGCGAGCAAGTAAGGGGAATATTACTGAAACAAATATACACTAACAAGGAACTGAAGTGGGTACACCTTAGTTCTAATATCCAGTATAATTAAAGAATTTTAGAGCAGTTTGCCTTACATACTAATTAAAGTATTTTGAGTTTTCAAACAAAAATATAATGGGCTTTCCTTGTATAAACTTAATGACACCATCTCAGAAACAAAACCTGTCAGAATTTCAATGTGATTTTTTTGAAGGGGTATGGGTACTTTACAAAATAACTCCAAGTGTTCCCTAGGGTAATAAACATGCAGGGAAGAATATTAAAAAGAAGAGTAATGATGGAAAACCTGCCCTGAATGGTATTAAAAATCACAGAGCAGTTTGATTAAACCAAATGGTTTAGAAGTAGTCTAAGTATATATAGAAATTTAGTATATAAGAGGAATTTCAAATTAGTGAAAGAAAGGGATGGGGCAACTAGCTAATTGTTTAGAAATGAAACTGTATTTTACCTTATAACAAATTCCAGAAGGATTAGAATTTTAATAAGAGAAATTTAAGTAAAATACACACACACACATATATATGTAACCCTAATATTTTGGTGATATTATGGAATGAAAAGCCAGTAATTATAAACCAAAAAAATGATGGGCAAAGTCACCATTCCTAATACACACACAAAAAAGAAGAAAAATTCTCAAATATAAGAAAAAGAGCAAATTTTAAAAGCATGGAAAATGCACAGCAACACAAAAAAGTATAAACAGTCTAATAAACATGAAAAGATGTTCAACATCCCCAAATTTCAAATTAAAATGATACACTATTTTTCCCATCATGTTACCAAAGGTTAGAAAGACTCATGTTACCCAGTCTTGGCAAGGTTTGGGGGACGTGCATATTTCATGTTTTTAAAAGAAAATGCTAGCACTGATTAAGCACCAAACATTGTGCTAAACATTTATATTCATTCTCTTGCTTAGTTACTGTAAAAACTTTAAAAAAGAAATATTTAGATTTCCTATTTTACAGAAGATGAAAATCACACCCAGTAGTCTGGGATGGGAATATAAACTGGTGTAACTAATATGAATGTGTATATCAAAAAATTTTTACCCAGAATTTCTACTATTGGAAATTTATTCTGAGAAATAATCAGAAATGTGCACAAAGATAAAAGTACAAGAATATTACATGGCAGTATTATTCAGAAAAGATAAAAAATGAAAACAATCAAATGCCTAATAATACAGAACTGATGATGGTACATCCATATGATGGAATACTACACAGCAATTACAAATTATGGTATAGATTCATTTGGCATTGGACAGTATGTATAATACATATGCCCAAGTGACAAAAGTAGGTTATAAAGCAGCAGGTATATTACTACCCATTTATAGAAAATATTTATCTACATGTGTATCTGCTTAGAAAAGTTAGGAGTGTATAGTGAAGATGTTACTGGTAGTTAACTCTGGATGGTGGAATTGTAGTTGCTTTTTACTTTCCTCTGGACTATATAGACAGTTTTTATTTATTTCTGCATTATATGAATTTTTACACAATGACCTAAATTGCCTTTATAATCTGAAAAAAAATCCTACAATTTTCCTTTTAGAGAAGAAATTTAAAAAATTATCTTAGGTTTCAGATTAGTAAGAAAGATACAGAATGATTAAGTCATCATTGGCCACTTTGGTGAAGAAAATGATAACATGCAGTAGAACCTTGCTACTTCACAAAGAGATAACACTGAGTTATTATATCTGCAAGTTACAAGTTTCAGGATTATTTTATACTTTCCCCTCCCTCTCATATCTTATTAGTCACTGAGGTTTTTTTTTTTTTTAATTTAACATACAAAATGTTTCTAGAACCCTATCCTCCTGTCTGTTCCCACTGTCCTACACAATCTCATCGTTTCCCATCCCAGATTTCAAGCTCTTAGTTTTCCAACTGGACAGCTTGCTTCCAGTTCTCTCTCACCACAGCTTAACCTTTTTCCAAAATAAAATCTGATCATGTTGCTTCCATACTTAAAACCATATGATACTACAAATCCTTAATACCATAAAAGGTCTTCTGATTTGGCTGCTATCTTTTCCACCAGCCCTATATTTTTTTCTGCCTCCACTTGTATCCTACTAGCTAGCTACAGTAAATCACTTAGAGAGCCCTAAATGTGGTAGGCTGTCTCAGACCTTTTACTTTACAGATGTTGTCCTGCCTCCTGAAATACTTTGCTTTCCTTCTTGCTCCTTCCTCCACTAATTTTGTAGATTTTTGACTCAGCTGTCTAGATCAAGCTTAAGTATCTTTTGTCTGGAAGCTTTCCCTTACTCAACAAAGAGAAAATGATGCTCTTTTCTTTATGTCATTATCTTTTTTGTGTATGTTCCCAATGCATGTAAGAATGCTGAACTCAGGTGCTCTATATATTTTTGTTGAATGCTTAAGTTTAATGTCTCTCCTTTCCTGCTAAACTCTGAGTTTCTCAAAGCAAAGTCTCTGATTTGGTCATGTTTAGAATTTTTGGCATACTGCCTGACACAAATTAGCAAATAAAAAATATTTAATAAATTAATAAACAAATGAAGCTCTCCCTTTATTGAACATGATAGCACATGTAGCCTATACTACTCACTTAAAGTATGCATACTGCATTAAATTATGGTCCAGTATTAACAGTGTTGTTGAAAAATGCCTTTTACACAAAGACAATACATATTTGACTAACTGTTCAAAAGAGAAGATAGTGATTCTTTTCTCCAATTCTTTAACCCCATTACTTTAATTCTAAGAGTTTGTTACTTCATTCATTTGTTCTATACATACTAGTATACTATGCATATTTTAATATACATTGTTTTTTATATACTGTTTTGTATAGTATATAATATGCTAGTAACTTCATTTGCACAATGAATATTTACTGAAGACTTATTTGTGCCACAGAAGTAGAGATGAAGGGTTAAGAACAAATATATCTGATGAAAACTTAACTTTCACAAAATAAAGGTCATACAACTAAAATTATAAACTCTGAAAGCATATGTAGTTCTCATGATTATAATCCAGTACAGTGCTATTACTCTAGCTAAGATTTGTTATGCACTTGCCATGTAGTAGTTTAAAATGCTCTATATGTATTTACTTAGTTAATCATATCAATCCTAGTATTATATTTCCATTTTATAGCTGAGAAAACTGGGTTACAAAAAGACTGAGTTACTCACCCAAAGTCCTTTACTACATAGCTAGCAAAGTAAGTGTTGGAGCTAAATTTGAAATCAAGCAGAACTGTTCTAGAACAGTGCCTGTTCATCTTTCCATTACTGCCCCTCCTTTAAGCGACTCTTTAGACTTGGTTTTTCCTAATCACTCCCTATCCCCCATGGAATTTTAATACCACAGCTATACTATGTATCTCTTTATGTATTGTGGCACTTTATTATGTAAACCTCCACCCCCCACCCGAACAATTCTGGACCTTTTGGGAGTGATATTGCTCCTGTTAATGATGCATACTCCAGAGCCTACACTTAAAAAAAATTGTACTGAAGTATACATAACATAAAATTTGCCATCTTAACCATTTTAACTGTAAAGTTCAATAGTGTTAAGTGCATTCGCATTGTTACACTAGAGCCTGTACTTTTAAAACCAATCTTCTACGTATTATGCTACAAATGCTTCTTGATTACAAAAACCTAAATTTTTATATTATAGGGGACATGAGCTGCCATTTCCATTTTAAAGCATTTGCTCTTGTGTACGGAGCAAATCTTTCTTATTCTTTACTGTATTTTCTTCATAATGGTGCACTGGTAAGTCAGTTCTGAGAGTTCATAGGAGACAGACTGCTCCTGCCCTTTAATACCCTTCAGTTAGAGCTACTGTTACCTAACTGGCCTGCACAGTCTTTTAGTAAACAGTCGGAAGTTCTCCTGGTCTCAGGTCCATCAGATGTTGCTCCATTGCTTCCTTCTTCCTCTTGCAAAGATGCCAAAACTGATTGTGTCTAGAGGCTATTGGTAGTTTGTCCCCACCAACTCATATTTAAGGTTCCTGGGTATATCCTGTCACATGGTTTTGTTGTTACTGTTCTATGGACTTTAAACTTTGCTATCTAGTTGTTCTTTCTGTTCTTATGTGAGAATTCAGAGATACAAAATAGGACGAAGCTGTCACTATACTCCATCTTCCCAGAAGCTACCCTTTCTCTCAAATCCCTTTCCCCCAGGACTAGCTTTTTGAACTGTTGTGATATACTTAGGCATTACCATCTTTTAAGAACTGCTTGAGAAAGTAGCTAGTAACTCTTCATATTTGTTTTTATTTTTGTTAACTGCAAAGGTAATTGTCTCCATTTCTGAAATGTACTAGTAACCTTTTAAACTCTTTTCTCTGGAAGGAAATGTCTCCCTAATTCTAATTCAATCCATGTTTCAAATAAAAATTATAATAAACTTATCATTTTGTGAAATTTTTGAAAGCTTTTCTTTATATACCAAATCTGATTGGAATTCAACACCAAAGAATCCTTTCTGGAAGTACAACCCTACCTTCAAGCTCACAGTACTTTTGAAAAGATTAAACCATAGTTTGTTAACCAGGACAGTGGTGTTAGCTGGGTTATTTTCCCCCACTACTAATACAATGCTATCCATCACAACCAATCAATTAGCTACACAAATACCAAAACTGGGATTTTTTCCGTAAAAATGGACAAGAGGTCTACCAAAATCATGAAATGTGACAAATACTAAGGTATCACCCAGTCCAGTTTGCCTAACAGTTGACTGCTTTGTTTCTTTCCACAGTTCCAATATAGAACTCCATTTTTGGAATCTACACATAACATTGCCCTGGGGTTATTATATACTAAATATTACTATACTAGCATTAGTGTTCTAACAATTCCCACCCTCCCCCCCAGCACTGATGCCTCCAAATAACTGCCCCTGCCCTTCCCAACTAAGTGTAGTTTTAGTTCTTTTGGAACCGGGGATTGGTATACAGTCTTTGGAAAATAGAAAAAGAGTAACAGAAGGTGTAAATATGCACCATCAGCCACGTCAAAAAAGTGTAGGCGTTGAGAGTGAGGTGGCACGCAGGTCTTGATAAGGCAAAGTAAACAAGGTGATTCAACTGCGGAGTCGGTTATTACTTATACGTGCCTGTTGATATGGGCGGGGATGCGGGTATCTGGGGGGCTATCCCCTCCGGCTTTGCATTCCCTATATGAAAAGGTAAAAGAAACCTGAAGCTGCCTGGGGAGGAAAGCAAAGAGCTCCCTAAACTGTTGGTCCCCGAGGATGAATTTCGGAGTCGCGGAAGGCCCTGCCCCCGCAGGAGAGCTGTCAGAACTGCGATCCCCACGGCTCTGCCCACACAAACGCAACCTGCGTCTTCGCCCCCGTTCACGTCGGGAGGGTCCTCAAACCTTCTGTTTTCCTCCCTTGGCGATTCATCCGGCAGCCGACGAGCAGAGGGACGCTGGAAAGCCCCGTCCCAGGGTGGAGAGAGGGCCGCGGAGCCCCGGGTCCTCGCCCTTCTGAGCCGCTGCCCCCTTGCTCACCCACCTGATGCTCTTTCACCACTTCGCTGAGACAGGGATACCGCTCTGAGATCCATCGGTAAAACTTGGGGACTCCCATTTCGACCGTCAACACTAATTCCAGTCAGGGCCAAACCGAAACCAAACACCCCGCCGGAGCCTACGCCGCCGCCTCCGGCCGTCGCTCCACCGATGACAACACTCGGAGCGCGCGACCATAGAGAACGGCCGGCGGGCCTAGAGCGACCGCACCCGCCGCCGCATCCCCGGGGCGGGGCTCTAATCCCCGGCTCCGTCTCTCCTCGGCGAGCGAGCTGGCGGTTGTGTCTAAGAAGATTGAGGCGTTGTGGATGGAGTGTGTTAAACTGATTACTGGAAATGGCCGTGAACAGAGTTGTGTCTCATAAGCCGACTTGGAAGTGGTAGCAACACCTCACCAGACTGCTGGAAGAGTTTTGAACACTAAATTTTCTCCTGGCTGCTTCCGTCACCTGGGATTGCTAATCTCAGTATTTTAAAACACGAATTTGGAAAGGTCTGGTGATTTATTTGGTTTAGTTTGTTTTGTTTGGCGAGGGTAAGTTTTTTCTTTGAGGAATATAAATCCGTAACAGATTTTTTAAAAAACGTTTTCTTTTTGCAAAGGTTGAAAAAATTAACTCCTCTACACCCCTTATCCCTCACCCCGCGTTTCCTCAACTTTAAACATAAGGCCCCCTATAGGAAATTATTTAATGCATACTTTTCACATTCATGCCTCATGGTTTATCATGTTTTCCTGCATCACACTTTCAACACTAGAGAAAAGCAGTATTCTGTCAAGTGAATATAAATGAAATTACATTTGTTCTAAACTTTTCCACTTACTTGAATGTAATGAGCTCACTGCTTTGTAATTAAATCTTATGCAATAAAACTTATGAAAATATTTTAACCTCATTACACTGTTTTTAGATTTTAAAATCTCATGAAACTTTGTCTTCCGAGACCACTAGATTCTGCAATCTGTAAGCTTTCAGTTTCTCAGCATCTTTCAAATTACAGAATGTTCTTGTAGTTTTCATAATGGTCCTTCTTGGCTTATGTTTTTTCCCTATCATTTTCAGCCATACAAAAGAGTTTTATTAAGGGAATTTAATGTGATAGTTACGTGTATGTATCTGTTTTACTAGACTGAGTTCCTAGAGGGCAAGAAAGTCAGTTTTGTGCACAAGTCTAGTACAGTGCTTTGTCCAGTTTTTAGCCAATATAACTTTTTTGTTGTTTAAATGAATCCTTATGCCAACTAGTACTTAAAACCAATAGAAGTTGTAAAATGAAATCAGGACGGCTTCTTTCAAGTACCCTTTTTAGAAATGTAAGAACAATCGATGTTCCATTTCTCTATTATAATTCACAGTATATATTAAGAAAAGTTTATTTCTTAATAACATTATTTTAAATATTAACAATGAAGGAGAAATGATAACACTTGTTCTGAGAACATGAAGAACATAAAGAAACTTGTACTTTGGAACTGAATAGATACAGCCACAGATTAATACCAGATGCATTAAGTTTATATTATTAATATATTGTTTGAAGTAATTTCATTTCACATATATGGGGTCCAACCAAGGTACATTTGGCATAGTAAATTTTCATCAGTAGCTTCTTGTATAAGGTAATGCACATGTCCTTCAATAGATAATGGCAGCCCTGTCACTCTATTTCGGGTCTTGATTACACCTTGCAGTCGCTGCTCAATGTCAAGAACATGGGTCTTGGCCTGAAAAGAAGAAATTGAAAATCATAAAGGCTAAGCATCTGATGACATATAGATGTTGATAAGATGGAATTATTACCTTTCTGTTATTTAACAAATGTTAATGCCATTTTACTGATCATTACCCTTTTTATAAGAGCAAATACAGACTGAAAAGAAGAAATTAAAGTATCTTGAGATACTGATTTTGAGGCTTGCAATACCAATCCAACATCAACAGCTTGGATATTTTTTCTGGACTATTGGACATTTTTCTGGACTAAGAATCTCTTCCACATTATAGTTCTAGAAAAATAATAATTTTAGAAACTTACCCTGAAAATGTTTAAGAATTAAACATTTGAATAAATATGCTAATAACAGCAACACTCTAATGCCCAGTATTTAGATTGTTATGTGCAAATGGGAGTTCTGAGTGACCTGCTTGCATCAGAGTGCAAGTGAGAATGTTATTAGAAAACCAATCCTCAATCTAGTCGCACTTATTAAAAATAATTATGTGCAAACTTTGAGACTTCAACTTAGTAAGAAATAAATTGCTAAATATTAAAGCTGAGACCTGCTGCTTTTTAAAGTCAGGCAATTTGTGTTTAAGTTTTTCCCATTATATCTCATAATTGTGAATTGTCTATGGTTAAACAAGTGTCTTAAACTTTTTATTATACAAATGATAATGTTAACAATAATGATAATAAAAACTTATGGCATTGTGATACTAGGGAACTAGATTTGAGAATATTCAATGGTCAATCACTAACAGTATTTAGAATCAGTTCTCATTTGTAGATACACAGTGACAGCTCACAGCAAGCTATACCTTCAACCAACCTTTTCATTGACAACTTCCCCTGTCTCATTCAGTGCGGCTTTGGAATGCCCTTTCACTGGCTTACTCCACTCCACAAGGGGATCATGTAGAAAAGTCTTTAAGACACTAAAATGGAAACAAACATTGTGGTAATAATACAATGTTATCTTTTTAAGAAGAAATCTTTCTAAAGTCAACAGTTGAGGGGAGAAAAAGTAAAGGATGAGAAGCTAATGGTTAACACTCTTAAAACACACATTATTACAGTTTTGGTAAGATAGATAAAATTGCTGTTTTAAGGTGGAGGGTAGGGAAAGCGAAGAGGGAGGGAAAAGCAAGATGACAAGGAGCTGAGGTGTTCTTGGAGAGTAGAGTAAAATGAGTTCTATGTGCATCTCTAAATGCATACTCTGAACTGGTAAGTGAATATTTATTGAATGAATGAATTTTATCCTCTGCCATGTCTCCAAAGACCATAAACTACCTATAGCTATCACATAGACTCAGTCCAGATTTTTCTATCATGCTCTAGATTTCAAATTCCACTAACTGTGGGGAAAACCCACTGAAATATTTTACAGGCACCTTAAATTCAGTTCTTTCAAAACAAAACTCATTAACCTTTCCTAAACTATTCCTCCTGTATTCCCCAAATTAATAATGAACAGCATCATTCACCCCTTTGCCCTGAACAAAAATCTAGGAATCACCCTTGCCTCCTCTTCCTCTTTAATACCCAATTCCACCTCCTAAATCTCTTTAGAATCTCTCTACTTATCTCCTCCACTGTCACTACCTCATCCAGTACACCACCACTTTTTCCTGGGTTGCTGCAACAGTCCTCTAACTGGTTTTCTAGCCTCTAACTCAAACTAGAACTGTAATTTTTCTACAGTACAAATATGATTATCTCATTTCCACCTCTTTCTAAATTTTCTTTAAAATCCTCCAATGTTATTCTCAGAGTAAAGTTTAACTGTAAACTAGCCTCATGGACTTTTCATAATCTAGCCCCACTCATCTGTGCTGCATTCTCATAGCACCACCTCCTTGAAATCTACCCTCTAGAATACAGTATTTCTCAGGCAGGCCATGCCTTTACTTGCCTCGATGTTTGTATCACTCAGAAGACTCTCTTCCTTTTTGCATGATCATCTCTACTTTAGAGTTTCAGCTACTTCCTCTAGGAATTACTTCCTGATTTCCCCAGACCAGGATAGGGACTCGTATTGAGTGTTTCACAAGACACTATACTTCCTCTTTCAGAGAATTTGCCTTTATCTCTGCCTAACTAATCAGTGCATTCTGCCAAAATACCCAGTAGACAGCTTTTAAAGAAAGAAAAAATGAATGAGCTTTAAAAGTTTAAAAAAAAAAACACCCTACTTTCCTAAGCTGACATCATATTTAATGGTGAAAGACTCACTTTTCACCCTCAAGGGCAGGAACAAGATAAGAAAGAAGACTTCTCACCACATCTATTCATCTAGCTAAGGCAATTAGGCAAAAAAAAAACAAAGGCATTGAGATTGGGAAGGAAGAAGTAAAACTACTATCTGTAGACGACATGCTGTTGTAGAGAGAAAATCTTGTATCTACAAAAATAACTTAGAATTAATAAACAAGTTCAGTAGGTTTGCAAGATAAAAGATACCAACATCAGTGTATTTCTTTACACCAGCAATGAACAATCCAAAAATGAAATTAAGAAAAAAATTCCATTTTGAATAGCATTAAAAGGAAGAAAATACTTTGGAATACATTTTAAAAAAACAAATACAGATTTGCAAACTAGAACTTATGAAACATTGTTGGAAGAAATTAAAAATGACTTAAATAACCAACATCCTATGTTTGTGGGCCAAAAAAGAGGACTTAATTTTGTTAAGATAGCAGTACTCCCAAATTGATTTACAGATTCAAAGCCATTCCTATCAAAACATGGGCTGGCTTTTGGCAGAAGTTGACAAGATGACCTGAAAATTCATACGGAAATGCAAAAATAACGCATAAAATAGAGGCCAAGCAATCTTGAAAAAGAAGAAAAAGCTGGAACACTCATACTTCCTAATTTCAAAACTTAACTACAAAGCTACAGTAATCAAGACAGTATGTTATTGGCACAAGGTAGACATATAGATCAATGGAATAAAACGGTGAGTCTAGAAATAAACCCTTACATATATGGTCAATTGATCTTCAAAAAAAATGCCAAAGACAATTTAATGGAAAAAAACAATCTTTTCAAAAAACAGTGGTGGGACAACTGGATATACACATTCAAAAGAATAACATGGACCTGTACCTCACAATGTGATACAAAATAACTGAAAATCATAAAAGATCTAAGCATAAGAGCTAAAACTACAGAATAAAAGAGAATATAAATCTTCAGGACTCTGGATTATACAATAGTTTCTTAGTATAACACCAAAAGCACATATAACTACAACAAAAACAGATTAATTGGACTTCATCAAAAGTAAAAAAGAACATCATTAAGAAATTTTAAAAAACCCATTTGCGAATCATCTATCTCATATGAGTCTAGTAACCGCAATACATAAAGAACTCTTACAACTCAACAACAAAAACATAATTAATTTGATCTTAAAATGGGCAAAGGATTTGAACAGACATTTGTCCAAAGAAGATACACAACTGATCAATAAGCACATGAAAAGATGCTCAACATTATTGGTCATTAGGAAAATGCAAATTTAAGCCACAATGAGATAACACTTCACATCCACTGAGATGGGTAAAGTGAAAAAGATAACAACATTAGCTGGTAAGGATGTGGAGAAGTTAGAACCCTCATACATTGTTAGCAGGATGTGACTCTGCAATTCTCCTAAGTACATGTTAGCAACATGTGACTCTGCAATTCTACTAAGTACATCCAAGAGAACTAAAAACATAAATCCACATAAAATTTGTATGGAAAATATTCACAGCCACATTATTCTCAATAGCCAAAAGGTAGAAACAATCCAAATGTCCATTAATTGATGAAGAGTTAAACAAAGGGTGGCATATCCATGGAATATTATTTGGCAATAAAAAAGAATGAATTACTGCTACATGCTACAGCATGGATAAACCCTGAAAACATTATGCTAAATAAAAGA